GTCTCCTCCAGCATCACGATCATCACACCAAGGTTCTACTCAAAAGGAAGGAAGGTCACAATCATACAATGCTACGCTATGCACCTACAAATAATGCAGAGCAAGAGAAAAAGGAGGAGTTCTACAGACTACTGCAATCAACACTCGACAAGACCCACACCAGTTGGCGATATCAAAATTCTAATGGGCGACACCAACGCCAAACTGGGAGCGAACAACACAGGAAGAGAACTAACCATGGGTAGAGAAGCACTCGGTGCAATGAACGGGAATGGAGAACTGTCTGCAGAATTCTGTGCATTCTACAATTTGGTGATTGGAGGCACAACGATATCCACAAAGCTGCATGGATTTCTCCAGATAGACACACTACAGTAAAAATCAGATCAACTTCATCTCAATCTCAGGAAAACAGAAACGCTGTCTACTTGACACAAGGTCAAGAAGAGGAGCCGATATATGCTCATACCGCTATCTACTGCAAGGAACCTTCAAAATGGAGTTAAAAACCTTCAATAAGTTGGCAAAAGACCACAGTTCAAGTTCAACACCCAGAACAGAAACTGAAGGACGAATCTACAAACGACATCTTCACATCAGCCATCAAGAAAAAATAGGAGATATCGAGCAACATTGGTGAAGAAACCAGTGTGGATGATCACTGGAACTCTTTGAAAGCATTGTGGAAAGAAACCTGCATAACCATGTTAGGAAAGAGGAAGAAAGAAGATAAGGAATGGATCTCGACGGATGCATGGAAGTTGGTAGAGCGGGGAGAGGAGCATGGTGCAAGGATGCTCAGAGAGAGGAGGAACTGAGTACCACCCATAAAATACTGGACAAAGAAGTGAAGAAGAGTGCACGCAAAGACAAAAGACACTTCTACGACACATTGGCAAGTGAAGCACAACAGGCTGCAGATAGAAGAGACCTGACAGCTCTATATCAAATAACCAGGTTACTATCTGGCAGGAATGAGATCAACACAGATGAAACCAATAAAAGATGATGAGGCAAATCTGATCGCCAAAGAAGAGAAACAAAGGAAACGATGGACTGATCACTTCGCAAAGCTCTTGAATAGACCACCACCACCATCTGCACTTCGTCCAGAAATACCACCAGCAGCCACAGAACTACCAGTCAACACAAGCCCACAGACGAAGGTTAAAGTTGTGAATGCCATAAAGCTACAGAAATGCGAGAAAGCAGCAGAACCAGATGGAATCCCGCCAGAAGCACTGAAAACAGACACAGAGACAACAGTGGACATGCTCACACCACTACTGCTGAAGGTTTGGAAAGAAGGGAAGCTACCTGCCTACTATTTGGAAGAAGGACTCCCTTGTCAAACTCCCAAAAAACAAGACATAATTCTTTGCAAGAACTGGCGCGGAATCATGCTCCTATCCACCTAGAGCAAGCAAAATATTAAGCCACATCATCCTGGAGAGACTAAGGGATGCACTGCATTCAGAATTACGACCGGAACAGGCTGTCTGGTTTCAGGAACAAAAAAATCATATGCGGATCAAACTACAACGCTATACTACGCATTATCGTAGAACAGAGTATAAAATGGCAGTCAAATCAACTCTACCTCAACTTCATCCACTTTCAAAAGGCCTTTGACCGCGTCGACCAAGAAGTAATTTGGAAACTGCTCCAACACTACGAAATACCACAAATCTTTATCAATCTCATTCAACAACTATATGAAGACGCCACATGCCAAGTAATTCACAATGCGAAGCTCAGTGATGATACCTCTGAAGTGAAGACACGAGTAAAACAAGGCTGCATACTATCATCCATGATCTTCCTGATTGTGGCAGATTGGATCATGCAGCAAACCGTGAGGAGCGAGAAGAGGGGGATACGTTGGCTGGACCAGGGTAAAGATCCCAGGAGATTTCGATTCCGCCGATGACTCGTGGTTAATGTCTTGTGGCACAAACTCGAAGGTCTACAGGCGAAAACCAACAAGTTGACAGAAGAGGCAGGACAGCGAAGGAAGACGGGACTTCAAGTGAACGTAGAGAAGACAGAGGTGATGATGATACCCGACCGACGTCACCAACAACAACAACAAGCACCAATCACCATCAACGGGAGAAACTTAAAGGAAGTAGCCTCTTCCACCTATCTAGGCACCATTGTTTCAACTACAGGCGGCACAAATGAGGACGTCAAAACCAGGATCAAAAAGACAGCAAGACAGGTCTTCACTAACCTGAAATCAGTGTTCAGATCTACTACACCCCACTCAGCGTAAAGCGCCAACAACATCCTTATTTTCAACACTAAGTCAGTCAAGTCAGTGCTTCTATGTGATGGTTAAGAAACTTGACGTGTTACGAAAAGCATTTTCAACAAACTACACACACTCATCAACAGCTACCGCCTACGCTCAGTCGATACTGAAGATCAGATGAGAAGACCAGAAAGAATAAGCAACAAGCAACTCTGACTGGCTGGCTGGCAACGAACCAACCAATAACCCATCGCCCAACAAATATGCACAAGAAAGTAGAGATGGATTGAGGAAACACTGAGAAGACCATTTGAGGACACCACCCTCCAGGCCAGGCACTCAAGTGCAATCCAAAGGGAAAACGACGAGTTGGGCATGGAGATCATGTGAGGAAGAAATGAAAGCTTGTGGGCAGTCGTGGAACCGGGTTTAAAAGACTGCAGAGAACAGAGTGAAATAGAGACGTGCTACTGAAGCCCTGTGTTCCATTAGGAACCCAAGGGACAAAATTATAATCAGAGGAAATGAAATTGGTGTTATAAATTGATCATTTCACGGATTACATTGTATTTCTGCATATCCGAATTGCGTAAATTGATTTAAGAAGAATGATGGTACTTCTAGTTGCACAGAAAGATTTCTAAACCAATCGAATTAAATTATGGTTTGGGAAAAAGTTCGGATGTATAGCGATACTAAGGAAGGGGAAAGTACAGTTCTAAAAAAAGGATGAAGAGTGAATTTTTTCTGAAACACAATTATCGTAAAATTAGTTTATAGTTTCTTGTACACAGCTTTTTCAACAAATGATATTACAAACACAAAATATAGCTATCTCAATAAAGAACTAGTTATAATTATTGGTTGGAATAACTTCAAGGTCATAGGCTCAATACTGGTTCATTGTAGCTCAAATGATATGTTAGCTTATCATAGAGTATATCAAGCCTAAATATCAGTAATTTCCGTAACCTTGATGTGAATTCTAATGAAGATTAGGTCTCATTTTGTGCAAAATAATTATATCAGCTAAAATATAACGTCAATAACTGAAGTAAAGGCTACAAATCAACAGAAAACCATTTGATGCACAAAATGTGATTCAAAATGACTCTCTAAGATGTAGAAAATAACCTGAATGCAACCAGAAGTATAACAACCTCACTGATTTCTAATGCGTGCAGATGAATTGCAGCTGAATTTATACTGCATACGCAATTAGAGGTCTGATTAATGTCAGCTAAAAGACAGTTAGTAAATTAGGGTTTAAATTCATCCTCATTTATATTCATCTTCATGACTAGCAGTGGAATCAGGGATGCGCGTTTTGTCCCATTTTGGACTCGTTAGGAGAGTGCACCTGCATCCCAGTGAGTGATGTTTCCCCCAGTACCCATCGCTTCAAACGCCAAAGCACTACTCACTAGGTCACTGAAGTAAGATAGCCACCTCTTGTTTATAGCAAAGGTAAATTACAAGTATCGAAACAAAGACTGATGCCCGTTGCACGAGAGGTGGCTATCGTGGCTCAGTGGCCTAGTGGATAACGCTTTGTAGTTCGAAGCAATGGGTACTTTGTTCGAGTCTTAGTGAAAACATCACACACTAGGGTGCAGGTACGAGCCTCAAACAGAATGAAACGTGCATCCTGGATTCCACTGTTAGTCGCCAAGATGAACATCACATCATGAATATCCGGTAGTATCGAGGCAACCGCATAGGAGCCAATCTGCCAACAGAAGTCGAACAATTCAGCCATGCATAGCAGTAGGGGAATTACAAGTACCAAAAACATCCTTATTCAGTTGTTACATTTGCCAGTCACCGAAGGCTACCAGTATAGCGTTGATGACTGAATTCTACTAGTCAGATCTACAATTTCACCACTGAGCTAAGTGAATCGAAATTCTGATATACTGTAATTTATGTTAGACGAGTAGAAGTGATAGATAGGATATCTCATGCCTAGGTTTCATGCTTGTTTGTGTTCTTCATCAATGAGAGATTCAAATCCACTTTATTCAAATTTTCGGCTAGAGATATTGTATCTGCGCTACTGAAGTATCGTTGGATACAGAGTTTCATGCTGTAAAGTATGGTATGCAGAACTGTGGAAGTGTGATCAGCAACTTTTCGTCAATTCGAATGGTTAGGGATTTTTAGTAATATTATTTCCATATATTGATGCACAGATAGTCAACATTATCCGCCCTAGTTTCAGAAATAAGTGAAAAGTAAGTATCTACATAACAGGATAATAACAGTCTAATTGACAGAAACACTCAATCACGCATTTCTACAACCTGACGTTAGTCGAATCAAGAATTATTAATGATGTACGCCAGTGACGTCAAAAGATAATCGCCGATTATTCGTAACTGAAGAATATTAGAAAACACACACCACTGGACTGAAAAACAGAATCTTCATAACGGTACTTGAAAATTTCTAATACTACAATGAAACAAGTAATCAGTACCCTGTTGCCTTCAAATTTCATCGTGTGATTTAAAAAAAAATTCTCTTCAAATCAATGAGATACTCGAAACCATCAAACCATTAGATAACAAGACAGATGTCTAACTAATCAGCAAATACAACAGTTCACAATATCTTACAAAACGCCTACATTTTCGAAAACGTATTCCATAAGTCTAACGGCAACTAAACACAACCTTTGAACCGTACACTTCACTATAAACCTATTCACACAATCCTATATCCCTAGTTTTATAGAACATAAAAGTAAAGAAAGGTAGTATATTTATTTGAAACACTGACTATTAAATGCATTTTGTGAAACAGAAGCTAAAAGATTATGCTAACCAAACTGTCCAAACATTTTGTAAAATAAATACATCAAAACATGCAATGATTGAAAACTATTACTGAATAAACAGCTAAATAGAAAAATTACTAAGTCAATAAGGCACATTTTCATGAATAAATAAAGCAGATCAAAGACACATACACATAACACAAACACATACATAGATAAAAGTTGACCATTTAAAATGCTCTTACAAGTTGAAACCAATTAGGCTTGAAATAAGTATGAAAAGTAAAATTAAAGTATACGGATGAAAAAGAACTTCAATATAAGAAAGTAAATAAATAAATGAATGCTCATTTCAAATTTTTCAATGCTGCCAGAAGACTTTCAGGTTTTGGTGATGAAGCAACTGCTGAAACAGTCATGCCAAGTTCTTTCAATTTCGTCGCTGTTGCACGCCCCATAGCAACAAGCTAGTTTAAAAAGAAGAGAATCTTTTCTTAAAATAGGTATAATATGAAATGAAGTAAACAACTTGAATGATAGAAATGGTATTGGAAAAATTGGGTAGAGAAGCAAATCAAGTCAGATGCTTCGAGTAACTGACCAAGTGAGTTGTAAAACCTAACTGATAGCATTACATAGTATTACATACTTCGAAAACAATTATCATTTCTACATTTCGTTTCTTTAAAATTTGAATTAATACTGCAAGAACTTGAACGTATGTTTAGGTTTCAAGTAACTGATGAAAATCCTATTACATCATTCTATGCTACATTTACTGTTCTCATTGCATTATTCAACTTTCATAAGTAAATAAAAGATGCTGTTCGCCGACCCATTAAGTTCATTCAAGCATCAACATTCTAACAGAAAACTGTTTTCTTAGCTGTTACCAACAAAACCATGATTTTCATTCCATGCCAAAGCTTTAGACCTTCTCATGGTATTGTTAGTAAATGGAAAAGTTACTCAGTTTAGGTCTCACTAATTTAATTTTTAAGAAAAAAACCTGATGGAACGGCTAGTTTGATGAAATATAAATACATGAATGTGTTTAGCTCACATAAAAATGATATTAATTTATTCAAAATACATGTGAAATTATGATTTATATCGTAATTGTAGTTGAGCTTATTTGATCAGATAGTAGTTACGACACCACCTAATTGAAAGCGTAACGTCATTTCGTACACAATTACAATGTGTGGGTTATCAGAGTAAAACTTCATAAAGGAAGTTGCTTTAGACTACTGTCGGTATCCGGCAAGTTGCCATGTAAGCATTACGTAGTGTGACTGACGTTAGTGGTTACCATTCCATTCAAACTGTATGTGAAATGATTACTTTTGAGTGTAGTGTTAGTCAGTCTCTACATTTAATGTAATACTTTTAATCTACAGTGCCACATTCAGTTTACATGGCAACATCCTAAATACTGGTAGTAGCTTTAGACAGTTTCAGTTCAGGTACGGAGAATATTAGAAATGAACCCGGTCATTAAAACTGGACGTAAGACTTGCAGAATACTCAATAGATCCCTATAACCAAAAGATTTGTTTATATTCGTGTTTTGAAGGTGAATAAACCTGTTAAACTTCAGTTACACGACTTCTATTTCTAGCCGAAAACGTACCTCTCACAGTTTTAGATGAGTTTGACTTAAAACTAAACTGCAACAAGCATTGGTTGAAATTGACACCAATTTTAATTATCTATGATTCACTAATCGTATTCAATACAATATAACAACAACAACAACTATTCTGCCAGTCATTCTTTTTGGTTTACAAAACACACACCAATGATGATTAACAAAGTGTGAAAAGTCAAAGTCAAGTACAGATGAAAGTGATGCAAGTAAAAAAGGGCATTATTTGCCATTAAAACAGTTAATAATGAAAATTATTTACTGCTTGGAAATGCTCTTCCATTACTTAAATTTTTAACAAATCCCTAGAACGATGACCAGCTAGTCATCATCTATTAATGATCTTAAACTTTACAGAATAAATTCAACTTCCGGTATATTTGTCAACAATTTGCTATTGATATTATTACTTGTATTATACTGTCATTGATTGGACCGAATTGATCGGTGTCTGTTGGCATATGGGCTCCTGTGCGGATGCCTCTATATTACCTGTGTTTGAATTATAGTAATGATCGATAGTGGCTAGCAGTCGAATCGAGGCATCTGCACAGGAGCCCATATGCCAACAGAGATCGATTAATTCGGTCTAATCAACGACGGTATAATACAAGCAATAATACTAAAACTATACTCATCGCACAAGAAGTGACTATCGTGGCTCGGTGGTGTAGCGGATAACGATCTGGTATTTGAAGCGATCGCTCCCGAGTCGGAATCCCGGTGAGAACATCATCACTCACTGGGAGGCAGGCACATCTAGCTGACGAGTCCCAAATGGGATGAAATGCGCATCCTGGACTCCACAGCTAGTCACTATCCATCATTACAATCTGCTACTAATTTTTGGAGTTTTTCAACGATCCTAGGATGCACAAAGTATTTAATTTGAAAGTAAGTTTTTCATTCGCAACATTTCGCATCCTTTCTAGTACATCATATCAGCACCTAAAGTAGAATTCAGGCAGTTAAACTACCGATTTTTAGATGGTCACTGTTTAAGCTTAGCTTTATATGCAGGTTGATCAAAACCATTTTCTTATAACGAGCACGCTGTATTAGCTTTTGAAGCTGTAATTGGATGATTTATGTAGTTGACTACCTTTCCAAGTGGGTCGCGATTTCAAACCTCACTTCATCTACTGAGTTTTGGGGTATTAAATGAGCATCGTAGGGTTGTGCACAATAGTTATCCCTCATAGCTTTATGTATGGAAGAAAAAATCACGTTATATTTCTGACCTCCACGGCCTTCAGATTTCAAAGTGAAATATGTAAACAAACGGGGGGTAGCGACGGGTTCTCCAAAATCCTAGGCATATTCACGGACAGTTGGGAACAGATGGTATTGGGAACATTCAAACCCACCCAAAAAGCATGGCAGTAAAATGTAGATGACATAATTACTGAGTTGAAATCAGAACACATACAGAGTTTTATGCACACACACACACTAACTTGATAGTAAATGCTATCCGATTTACATAAAAATCAGAAAAATGGAAGGATAATTATCGATTATGGAATGCGAAATCAAGAGAAGAGAGGATGGTAATTTAGGTACTGATGTTTATAGACAACCAACACATTCGAATAGATACTTGAAACTCACATTGTCTCACCCTACATCTATCAAGGCAGACTTAGTACAATGTTTAAGTAATCGAGCTAGCAGCTTTACTATTAGGTCAGAAGATCTAAATAAGGAACTGTGACATACCACCACCTAATAACTACCCTCCTAAATTTATTAAAAAGTCTATAAGAAGTGATAACATTAGTGGTAGCTGCATCATGCCTAGGAGGGATTTAAAATCCCCTGTAGTGTTGCCATATAAAGAAAGCACATAGGAAATTCTATGTAGAATTGATAACAATGCTGGGATTAGCGTAACATTAAAACCCACAAGCTAAGACAGAAACTTTGTAGGCTAAAAGATCCACTACAGCCAATTAAGAAAAATAACTTAATGTATTAAATACCCTGTAATTATTGTGATATCAAATAAATACGTCAAAGCAGCCTATCAGGGTCGGTTGGAATAGCAGAGTACGAAAATCCAGCGTGGGCAGGCGTGAGTAATAAATTCTGTTCAAAACGTCATCCAGTAAATAATATTATATCACTGTGTGCTACATCACAAAATAAGCAATTTAATAAGGAGCTTCGACCAGCATCGCGTACTTTCTCCATACCTACTTACGGTTAGACACCAACACAATAATCCATGGCTGACGGAGTCAAATGGCCTCTTCGGGTTAGGAAATATGGCAATTGTTGGGTGCGGATAAGTATGCTTGAATTCCACAAGCTGTCAAAGAGTGGAGACTTGGTCGATGCACTGATGGCCAGTTCTTAAACCTGCCTTGATTTCCCGGGTGTGCTGTTTTCAAACTCCAGCTAGGCGTTGGGTAACCATTGACCTTAAGATTTTAGATACTGTGTTAGTCAGACTGAATTCTCTGTGGTTGTCACCCGAAGACTTCCATGTTTACTTATGAACTAGAATAATTAAAGATCTAGAGCATTTTGAAGGGACTACAAGTGATTCCTATACACAAGCCAGTATTTTGTTTACTTTATTCAATAAGTTTCAACCTACGCCTTTAAAAGTTCTAGAGGCAAAGCACCAGGTTCTATTGCTTAGCATAGTTCCAGTCTGAGACATCTTTTTCCATTCTCAGGAAATTTAGAGAACTAACATGTACGGTCCATTTGGTTCCAAGAAAAATGCTGAGTAACTGAAGCGTTTCTGTGCATCAACTGAGTCGTTTTTCAAAGCGTTACGCTCAACGTTCAAGCCGTCTACCCTGAGAGGTTATCAGCGACCCATCCTTTTAACTGGCATTCTCGCTAACCATGATCTTTCTGCTAACATTTTCAATAAACTTAAATAATTTTCGAGTATTATCCAGCCTAGTTACCTTTTCAGTGTCTTTCGCTTTCGCCACCAATTCTCGTGTTCACTATGAAGACTTTTAGTCACTTTCGCTTTTCGTCGTGGTCACACCCGGCTGAAATGAGTCTTCTCTCCCAGATCAATTAGGACGAGGTTGCGGGAGTCGTGGGTTAGTAACTGTCTTTACCGCTGTTTCTACACAAGACCGAATATTATGCCACGCTTCATTAGGAGGATTTTTATTTCCATTTTAAGATAAATGCCTGGTTATTTCTTCTCTAAGCAGACAAGATATTTTCGTCGTCTGGTTGAGCAAACAGAGGCTTCACCACTGTTTCCTGAGCCCGTTAAAGACCATATAAGTTTGATAATAATGAAAAAAGAATGACCTCGCCTACTTAACTAGTTCACTAGCCGGTCCTAAACCAGAATAAAGAAGGAAGGTTGGGCATAGGGCTAGCAACCCTACACCGTAAAACCAATTCAACCACTAAACAAACTTCAAAGCATAGATAAAATATAAACCATAAAAACAAACTTATTCCTCACTGGAATCGGAGAGACGAAATGACGCCAGTTGGTGAAAGACTTCACGAAGCCAATTCAACGATGTGTCTTCTTTCACTCGATGAAAGCAAAAGTTAACATGGGGACACGGAATGTCCGAACTACGTCTGCAGCTGGCTCGCAAGGCTGTCCAGATTCCAAAACAGATGAGAACGTATGGCATAGAAGTGTTAGGAATCTGAGAAAGCAGGTGCAATAGAAATGGACTCTCCAAACTGTCAACTAGACAGTCAATAATCTACTCCGGTATTGTCACCCAGACGACAACCACAAGCACACTGAGTTATGGAGTGGCCACCATGATGTCTCCAACACCATCGAAGGCTCTCCTATCATGCAGTGGGAACCAGTCT